GGGCCCTGCCGTGAGGGCAGGGGACTGGACTCGATGCCCTCTCGAGGTCCCGTCCAGTCCTAGTATTCTATGATTCTATGATTGTGTCCCACCAGCTCTTGTAATCAGAGTTAGAATCATAGAATCAAAGAGCTGGAAGAGACCTCAGAAGGTCATCAAGTCCAGCCCCCTGCTCTAGGCAGGACCAAACCCAACTAAACCAACCCGCCCAGGGCTTTGTCAAGCCGAGACTTAAACACCTCTAGGGATGGAGACTCCACTACTTCCCTAGGGAACCCATTCCAGTTGGGGAGGGGGCTCCAAAGTCAGCGGGATCTAAGAGACAGTGATGGGCAGAGCAAAGGGTAAAGAGATTCCTGCACGGTGAGCGGGAGAAAGACGAGGTGTCTTTGGACAGACGGCAGCGACAGGTGAGTTCTGTATTTCCCCACTACGGCCTGGTAAAATTAGCTGGCTAATGAGGCATTTTGTTTCCCATTAGCACTGTGTGCTCTGCTAATGTATTTCTGTGAAAAAGCTGGGGATTTTCACCCAGTGGTAACGACTTGGGAAATGTCGCACCCACCAGCAAGCAAAACGGGGGAGGGGGGGGAGCCAGGTGCTTGCCCCGCTAACAACCCCCTCCTGTCTGTTGGGGTTTGCGGGGGTCTGTGGCCAGCCCCTGGGCCCAGTAGAGAGAAGCTTTTGCAGGGGAGCAGGGAGGGGAGATAAAAGGATGTCCCTCAGCCTCCTTTTTTGTGTTTTGTTTTTGAAGGCGGTGGAAAATAAAAGGGGAGGGGGAGTTTCTTAGAGCACTTTAAATAAAAGCCCTTTGTAAACATCCCCCCTTGAGCCAAAGGAACCGGGCTGGAAAGCATTTCCTGACAACTCCATTAAAGAAGGGAGCTGTATTAACATTCCAAGCACCTTGACAAGAGATGAAAAGGGGGGACTTGAATCCAGCCTCCCCTTGCTCCAGATGTTGTTACGGGCTCCCTGAAAGGGGTTTCTTTCTCCCTCTCTCTTTTTTCAGAGACAAAGATGTTGCCCACTTCAAACGATTCTAATTGATGCTAATGATTATTAGATAGAGTGGGGGGGGGGGGTTTTTCCCCCCCCC